CCCTGGTTCTCAGTGGGTCACTCCACAGGGCACCTGCGTGACCCTGGTTCTCAGTGGGTCACTCCGCAGGGCACCTGTGTGGCCCTGGTTCTCAGTGGGTCACTCCACAGGGCACTGTGTGGCCCTGGTTCTCAGTGGGTCACTCTACAGGACACCTGCGTGACCCTGGTTCTCAGTGGGCCACTCTGGAGGACACCTGCGTGACCCTGGTTCTCAGTGGGCCACTCTACAGGGCACCTGTGTGGCCCTGGTTCTCAGTGGGCCACTCTGGAGGACACCTGCGTGGCCCTGGTTCTCAGTGGGCCACTCTACAGGGCACCTCTGTGGCCTTGGTTCTCAGTGTACACAGGGGTTGTGTAGGGGTGGGGCTTGGAGAAGAACATGTTTCTTACACCTCTGACAAAGAACAACCTTTCTCTAAATGTGAAGAGAGAGCAAGGGCCCACCCTCTCAAGAGGAAGACACTGACGCTCAGACTTGGCTCCCAGGAGTCATAAAGCATCATTTTTGGCTGCAGCAAAAGCGCATGCTTCTCCTTTGGCTTTTGTTATTTTTTATATGTTTATCTCAGTTACTCTCCTTGAGGCAACAACAGTCATGACGACCTTTCAGTAAGCCTTGTCTTTGCCCCTATGCACAGTTCTGAGCCCCTGACACACATTAACTCATTCAGTTCCTGCCATGACCCCCGGAGGCAGGCTTTCTTCAGATCACAGATTTTCAGATTCCTGGGTCAGAGACTGTGGAACCGAGCTCTGGGGACTGCATGAAACCATCCAGACTAATTTAGGAGCTGAATTAAGGGCACTTGAGAGATATACTTGTCATGTATGACTTACAATGGAAAACTCTAGGAAAAAAAAAAAAAAGATGGAGACCAGAAAAAAAAGATGGAAAAAAAATGACAAGAAGGTAGAAGAAAAATTAGCTGGGAAGACGGAAGGAAAGGATGAGCAGGAATGAGAGGGGACCAGGAAGAGTGATAATGGGGGGGGGGGGACCATGATCAAAATACATTATATACATGTATAAAAGCGTCCTAATGAAATGCATTGCTGTGTAATTAACGTAAGCTATTTTTCTTTAAATGGTGGAGGAATGCCTTGCCTAAACGAAGTTTTGTCAAAAGGAGGGTAGAAGAAATCTTTAGCAAATAGAGTCAGGTCATTCTTCTTGAATGATCCAATTTTGTCCAACCTTCGCTCTCTGCAGAGCTGAGAGTTGGGGGAGAGAGATCGTGCCTGCGGGAGGAGCCGTGAGGGCCAGAAGGCAGGGTGGGGTGGCCGCCAGCCTCCTCGCCCTGGGACAGGCTCTTCTTCTCACAGATTTGTCTCTCTTTGTGCCCTAGGAGTGACAGTGCAGGCTCTTTCCACGGTTCCTGTCATGTTTAGCTACTGGGTGAGTGTGGAACCTCAAACCATCTCCCTGGTGGTGAAGGCTCGTGTCCAGCTCCCCAGAAGGTGACGGACAACTTAAATCTTGCAGCTGGTCCCATCAAGCCCCTCCCCTGGCTGTCCTCCTCTTTGTTTGCATGTTTGTTTTTGAGACAAACTCTCTGATAGCCCAGGATGGCTTTAGCCTTGCTTTGTAGCTGAGGATAACCTTGAACTTCTGATCCTCCCTGCCCCCATCTCCCGAGTGCTAGGATCCAGGTAGACTACACCACACCCAGTTTATATGGCGGTGGGGTTGGAACCCAGGGTTGGAACCCAGGGCTTCTTACATGCTGGGCAGCGCTCTGCCCACTGAGCCACACCGCTACTCCAGCGGCTCCTTTATAGGCCGGCAGCATGTGCTCCCCAGACTGCCTTTGCTAGCCTTGTTCTTGCTTCAGGACAGCAGCCAATATGTGGCTGTCAGACCCAATTCTGGATTCACCCCACAGTTCAGTTGTAGGACTGAGTCCCCACCAGGGCTCACCTCTCAGACTAACCCCTGCCATGCCTGGCTGAACTGCTGATAAGCCGGTGCCCTCTGAGGTAAGAAGTTTGAAACAGGATAATAATGGCCAACTATATTATGCCTCCTGAGGAAATGTATAGAAGGGGAGTCCTAGGCCCCTTTCCACGGGTCAACAGTTCTCAAGCACTAAGAGTTTATTGATTGATTTGGAGACCACAGAGGGAACTTTGGGTACAGAGCTAAGAACTCGCTAACCTGGTAGTTGCTGCGGTTGAGGTGGGAGTTAAGAGCAATGCAAACACTACCGTTCTCCATGCTTTCCCCATCTGTGTTCACAAATCCAGCAGGCGTGACGCAGGTCTCTATGCTCTTGATTACATGTAAAAGAAAACATCTTGAAACCTCTGTGTGGGTTTGGAGAGATAAAGTGTTTGTTTTGCAAGCACGAAGAACCTGAGTTCAATCCCCAGAACCCACATAGCGAAGTGGGTGTGGGAGCTGGAGAAATGACTCAATATGTAAGACCATTGGCTGCTCAAGCATGAGGGCCTGAGTTCTGATTCCAGAACCCGCTTTAAAAAGCTAGGCATGGCCACACTTGAGCCTGTGGCCCCAGGACTGCAGAAGCTGGAGATAGGGGAATTGCTGAGCCTAGGAAAGGGGGAAGATTGGGAGAAAGGAAATCAAGCCGTTGCCTCAGGGTCAGAGCCCACTGGAAGGGTGGGGAGGACAGAGGAAACAGGACCAGTACGGAAGCAGGCCTGGTAGCCTTCGAGGAGCCAAGACAGAAGCCTTGACGGCAGCTTCAGACACTAGGAAGGCCTTCAAGGTCTTTGGGCTGCTCATAGTGGCCGATCATCCATCCCTGTCTAAGCTGGAACAGCCCGGTAATTAGCCCGTCAGGCTCAGCCATAGCTTCTGGCCTCCGTTCTTCTAATTAACCAGCAGCATCCACGCAGTTCTCTTTTCTCAGTCCGTGCTTCTTCTTCCTAAAGCGTAAAATCGTTAAGAAGGGTGGATATTTTCATCTAAGAGGCGACGTTGTTGGGAATGAACGCCTGATAAAGTCGGTTTTGACGGGCACGGAACCTTTTCTGTTCTCACCAGGCCAAGCCTAAGGATACTTTGGAGCTCTGTCAGTTTTTAAACAATGACCTAGCTGCCACCGTTGCCAGATACCCTCGAAGGTTTGTGGGTTTGGGGACATTGCCTATGCAAGCCCCAGAGCTGGCCGTCGAGGAGATGGAGCGTTGTGTGAGAGAACTAGGATTTCCTGGTGTCCAGATTGGCTCCCACATCAACACGTGGGACCTGAACGACCCGGAACTCTTCCCTGTCTACACCGTGAGTACTGCTGCTTTTGCTCAGCCAACATTTGCTCAGCCAACACGCAGCGGCACAGCCTTGGCCTGGCAGACACCATGCTGGTGGGGGACCAAGAAGGGATCATTTGGTTGTGGGGGTGGGGGAACCACAGGAGGCCAGTGACTTTAGATGTAGGTAGAAGATGGAGAAATCTACCAAAAATCCTACCAAAAGAGTGAGCCGTTCTACAGAAGAAGATGGGGACACTTCCCAGGCCTGCCCTGGGGTAGTTCAAATGAAATATCTCTTCCTGTATCACACAGGTACTCCTTTTCATTGTACATGGAAGCCTCTTTGCTAGCACTTTACATAATCAGACACACACACACACACACACACACACACACACACACACACTTTTCTTTTTGCTATGGAACAAATAATATTTTTCAAAAAATATGAAGTAATTTTGAAGAGACTGTAGAAATACAAAAAATATAAAAATAAAGACAAACACACCAATCATTCTACCCAAAGATAATAACCATTGCTATGTCTCATTTCATTTAAAAACTTTGCATGTCTATATTTTAACAAAATTAGAATTCTGTTACACATATGATCTCATCTCCTAATTGAAAATTTACAAACAAAATAAACATTGTATCTGTGTGTGTGTGTGTGTGTGTGTGTGTGTGTGTGTGTGTGTGTGATGCATACTTATATTCATGTTTGCATGTGTGTGGGCATACATGTGTGCATACGTGTGGTGCATAGCATCAGGCATCTTCCTAGATAGCTTTCCACCTTATTTACTGAAGCAGGTCTCTTGCTGTTTGCCTGTTTCAGCTGGTCTGGCCAGCTCAGCCCAAGTGTCCTGTCTTCAGCTCCCCAATACTAGGATCACAGGCAGCCACCTGACTGTGATGTGGGTTCTGAGAACATGAAGAATAGACCCCACACTTGTATAACAACCTCCCCAGCCCAGAAGATTATCTTAGTGAATGACTTTTTTAAAACTGCAGAATATTCCAGTGTGTTGGTGTGTTTTTATTTAATTCATCAATCCTCAACTAAGAATCTTAGGAAGAAGCTGGGCACTCAGGAAAAGGCAGGCGGAACTCTGAGTTTGAAGCCACCCTGGACTTCAAAGCAAGTTCCAGAACAGCCAGGGCTACACAGAGAAACCCTGTCTTCAAAAACCAGAAACCAAACCAAACACAGAAAGAACCTTAGGCAGCTAAAGGTGTATTTTGGCAATACATAATAAAAATACATAATGAAACTGAGCGTGAAGGCACAGCCTATAATCATTCAGGAGTCTGAGGAAGAAGGATCATGAATTTGAGGCCAGCCTGGGCTACATAGTGAGTTTTAGGCAAGTCTAAGATACAGAGCAAGATCCTGTCTCAAAATCCTCAAAATAAACATATATAGATGAGGAGGAAGGGCAGAAAGGGGAAAAGGGGGAAAATACAAATAGATAGATATATCAATAGATGGGTGGATGGTATCTATATATCATAGCTTATAAATAAATAGGTGATAGATAGATAACAGATACATATATAGATAGATGGAGGTTTTACATATATAGATAAGAATGCCATGAAAATGTTAGCATTTAATAAACTCAGATGGTGAGTATGAGTGTTTATTGTGTTATTGTTTATAATGTCTATATTTAAAATAGTTCAAAATTAAAAACGTTTTCAAAATGATACTCTCCAGTTCTGAAGTGGCCAGTTTCCCACCCCACCATCCTCTCCACCACCCTTCCTTCCTCATCCTGTAACTGGATCAAACTGGATCAGCCCTCCTTGGTACCAGGATTTAAGATCCACGATTCTTCACTCAATGGCATTTTTTTTTTTTTTTTTTTTTTTACAAATCTCACTCTCCTCTCACAATAATGGTATGGGAGAGTTTCCTATTATTTCCATTGTAATGCAAAAATCCTCAGTACTGATTTAAGTAGATGTTTGCAGACTCACCAGGCATTCTCCTCTCTGTCATTTATTCATTTAATATTTATGGAGCTCTAATCACATGCAAACAATTTCCCATGTCTGTGTCTGTGGCGACTGCCCACCATGCAGGGAATTGCCTGTGAAACCGCCTCTAAAGATTTAATACCCTTCTCAATGCTGAACTCTCTGAACGAATTAGCAGCAGAGGCTCAGCTGATGCAGAGAATGTTTTCTGGAAATTTCAGTGAGCTTTGAACAAGGATTTATTTACTCATGCATCCAAGTTGCCTCAGCACAGTGTGCGAGAGTCTTCAGCTACAAGTCATTTTTAGTATTCATCGGAACTGGGCTTATAAATTCCTGGGGGGCTAGAAAGCAATAGCGGCCGCAGGAGTGCACACAGACATTTCCATCTGAGTGCCGAGTGCAACGCATCTATCACTCCAACGAGATTGTTTGGGAGCATGCCAGTCTCTGAGGGACCAGAGTTGACCTGCAGTGTCCCTGGCCTGACAATCTATTTGTTTGGTTAGCAAGGCTGGCCTGGCCAGCTCCTCTCTAGCATGCGTCAGTAACGTGCTCAAACAAAGGGGAAGAACTGACAGCCGAGTTGGTGCTGTCATGGGCTGTCATTTCAAGGGTGTCCCGGCACTCCGCAGCATCCCAGTGCCCCCGCCCCTTTCCCATAGACCTCTCTTTTAAGTGAATAAACCTAGTAACGTACACTCAGGTACAAAATTATTTCATTGCTGGTAGGAGGCAAGCAGAATATTAGCGCCTGACTCTACCACTCATCTGAAGCCAAGGTCTGACTAAGTTACGTGGTTTCTCTCTTCTCCGTACGGAGGCAGGCATGAGAACATGTATAACACACAGAATGCGTGTCTCATAAATGATTAAAATTGTTAGTAGTTGTAAAATTCTTGTTTGTGTGTAGTGTGGTGTGTGTGTGTGTGTGTGTGTGTGTGTGTGTGAAGGTCAGATACTGACATCCAATGTCTTCCTCAGTTGCTCTTCACCTTATTTTAAATTTTATTGTGTATGTATCAGTGTTTTGCCTGCATGGATGTCTGTGCACCACATGTGTGTAGTGTCCTCCAAGGCCAGAAGAGGGCTTCAGATCCTCTGGGGCTGGTGATATGGACCACTGTGAGCCATCACGTGGGTGCTGGGGACCAAATGCTGGTCCTCTGGAAGAGCAGCCACAGTGACTCTTAACCGCTAAGCCACCTCACCAGCCCTTTCCCCTCGTTTTCAGAGACGAGGTGTTGCACTGAACTTGGAGCTTGTTGACCCTACTAACCTGGCTAGACCAGTGGGCTCCAGAGATGCTCCTGCCTCCAGCCCCCAGCACTGGAGTTACAAACTTGCTGCTGGGCCCAGCTTTTCCGTGGGGTCTGGGGATCCGAACTCTGGGCCTCATGCTTGCACAGCTGGCACTTTCCTACCTGAGTCGTGTGCTCAGCCTAATAGCTGTAAGATTCTGGTAGCAGCACTGGTATTAAGCGTTCCGTGAATGTTAGTTATGATCTTCAGAGTATGAGGTTTTGTGTTCTCTGTCATGCACCACACATAGAAGGAGATTCTTTGTCATGTTAATTAGAATTCAGTCAAGTCTTATCCTAATGAGAGGTCAGATCTCATTCTTTTTTTTTAAGATTTATTTATTTATTTTATGTATATGAGCACTCTATCTGCGTGTACACCTTTATGCCAGAAGAGGGCAGCAGATCCCACTATAGATGGTTGTGAGCCACCATGTGGTTGCTGGGAATTTAACCCAGGGATCTCTGGAGAAGCAGCCAGTTCTCTTAACTGCTGAGTTAGCCATCTGAGCCCCAGAGGTCAGATCTCACAAGGTGCCGTGATCAGGTGCTTTGGGGAAGCCTATGGCATCCCAAGAAGTCAGTATTCTCTTTCCAGCTTGCATTCACGATCAGGAAGCAGTTCGATTCCGTGCCTTCAGAAGCTTATGTCGCTGGGCTCTGCAGAGCCCGCTGAGTTGCAGATCTCCAGTTCATCCCTTGCCTGTCAGGTCTAGGATCCCTAGCTATCCAAAACTGTGCCGTATTAAAAAATACTTACACACACACACGTCACATTGCATCAGCTGGGCTAGCACAAATATTTGTGTGTAGAGGTAGGATGAGTCAGACTTGTGTCCCAATATGCTTACAAAGAAAATGTCCTAATGAAAGCTTGTTTAGAACCTTGGTGATCACTAGTATTAATGACTATTGTGCTAACGTTCCTTTTACTGCTGTGATAAAACACCGTGACCAAAGCAACCTGGGGAACCACCTGCCCAGTGGGCTGGCTCCTCCCACATCAATCATTAACCAAGAAAAGGTCCCCACAGACTTGCCTACAGGCAGTCTAATGGACACAGTTTCTCGGTTGAGGTTCTCTCTTCCCAGAAAAGTCTACCTTGTGTCAAGTTGACAAAAAAACAAAAAAACAACAAAAAAAAACCTCACCAGTAAAACTACTGAGGGGATTTAGTCAAACATTTTGTTGACTGAAGGTCATTCCATCCACATGGTCTTTCCATTTCCCACAAGCTCTTGAGGCAGGTTAGCCCATAGTATTCATCTTAGTACCTACCCAGCTCAGACACTGAGAATTCTCTCTTCAGGAAATTCCTTTCATTCATGGGAGAGTGCTAAGAGACTCACTGGGCTCCAGGAACAGTGAGAGTACCCACAGACCCAGACACCCCATCACTGTTGGATCCAACTGTCTTCACAACTTAGATCAGATCAGCCTACTCCATTCTATCTGCAAGGGCCTAATCCCTAGCTCATCATTTTCCTGAATTTATTTATTTATTTATTTATTTATTTATTTATTTATTTATTTATTTATTTATTTATGTACTTACTTGTTTGTTTGTTTGATATGGGGTCTGTCTGTGCACTAGTACCTGACCTGGCCTTCCCTGTGTAGCTCAGGCTGGCTTTGAACTTGCATTGACAGGTATACACATACATGCCTGGCTCTCATGTCCTCACTTTCTGTAGCTCCAGGTTTCTAAGAGGGGAGAAGAAGGGAGCCCTCCTGCCCTGACTCCAAGGATACCCTCCCAGTCATCCTGAAGGGGTGCACTGTGCAGGCACCAGTGGGAAAAATTCCCCTGCATTTGAAGTGTGGAACTGGACCTTAGGCATTTGCTTTTCATCAAAATGTTTGAGTTGAGACTGGAGAGATTTTCAGTCAATAATGTGCTTACCTTGGAAGTCCAAGACCTTGAATTCAGTTTCCAGAATCCGTGTAAAAAAGCTGGGCATGTTGGTATGCACTTAGAAACTCAGAACTGGAGAAATAGAGACAGATGGATTCCTGGTGCTCACTGGCCACTCAACCTAGACAAATCAGTGAGCTTCAGGCTAGTGAAAGACTCTCTCTCTCTCTCTCTCTCTCTCTCTCTCTCTCTCTCTCTCTCTCTCTCACACACACACACACACACACACACACACACACACACACAGACCATTGAGTGGTGGATGTTTCCTGTAATTTCTTTCACCAAGCAATATGTTAAATTCATCAACCTATGGTTAATTCTGAGAGTTCTTTTTATTTGTTCAAGCAGTAATAATTGGTCAAGGAATCTTCTATACTGATCAAGAAGGAATTTCAAAGTATTTGAGCTTATTTGCTCATATCAACGTAGAATGAGATATAAAAAAAGTGGTGGCCCCCAATAACCTCTTTCTCATTGCTCTATTTAAGGCAGCTGAGAGGCTGAACTGTTCTCTGTTCGTGCATCCCTGGGATATGCAGATGGATGGTCGAATGGCCAAATACTGGCTGCCTTGGCTCGTAGGTTTGTGCTGGACTGAGGTCGGGAGCACAGCTTCAACGCTTGGGTTTTTCCAGTTATCCATGGGACTCCGTTCTGCCAGAGGAAGGAAGTGGGATTAGATTGAGAGTCATAGCAACTACCATGATTAGGCTTTTACTCAGCTAAATCCAATTTCACAGATCTACCTGACTGCATTTTCTCCTGTTAACTGTACATCCTAGCTAATGAGCAGTCACTTGAAGACTCAGTTTCTCCAACTTTGTCAGCTCCTTGAGGGTTAAAGCATCCAACATGAGCCAACTGCTGCTTCTAGGAGTGTGAAGCATTTGAAGAAATTCACATCAACCCAATAATTTTTCAGCCTTAGCTCCAAGAGGCAGCAGAGACTTGGCAGGATTAATAGTAATTGTTAACATTTAGTGAGCTGTAGTGATGTACCAGATACTATCACAGAACCCTAGAAATAACCCATTGCTAGGAACCAACCATCACTGCTGTATAAACGGAAGGCGTGACGACTCCAAGGCATGGTTGGGGGGAGGGAAGTTTCTGAGCGGCAGGAAGTTCAGGGTAAGAGGGAGTGAGAAGAGCCAGGATGCCAGGATGGACTCTGAAGTGTGTAACAGGTACTTGTGATACTGAGGGAACCTGGAGGTCAGCATTTGCTTTGGTATGGTAATAGGCACCACAGATAGCCACTTGTCCCTTCTGATAATGAAATGGCCCCTTTGGTAGAGGGGAATGGCTTCATAACTTCCTGAGGAAAGTTGGCTTCTGTCTAACTGGCAGAATTTGGACCTGACAACTACCCTAAGTTCACAGATGAGGAAATAGAGCCGAGAGAGCTGACTAATGTTTGCTGAGCACCTCCAATGTGAAGTCATAACCAGGAACTTTACTGAGATCATTATGTACAAAACTACACAAAAGCCCTACAAGACAGGAAAGCACATCCTCCACGAAAGAACACAGACGAGAACACCAAACAACTGCTCCCAGGCCAAGGGCAGGACATCCCAGGAGCTGCCATTCTGCCCAGAAGCCTAACACTATGCACCTAGGCTAAAATGAGAGAGAGCTAGGGACTCAGCTCAGTGGGAGAGCACTTGTCTAGCAAGCACAAGGACCTGGGTTTGGTCCGCAGCACTGAGAAGAAAACAGAAGGAATCAGTGTTACTGGGAGTCAGGGCCAGGCCAGGGGGTTCCCGCTTCATGGCCCCTTATCCAAAGAGCTGACAATAAGGACTCACGTGGATGTGCAGAGTAACTTTATTAGGAGTGAACAGATAGTATAGATGGTAGATACACTGATAATCTGGTTCTCTGTTTTGTGTGTTAGATTGGGCCGTGTGTTTATTTTCTTACTGTAAGTAAGGGTGCAGTGAAACCACTGAACTGGACTGATCCATGGTGCATGGCAAGAAAAGGTTTATTGTAAATATGAAGTTGCCACATAACTCTAGTCTGGTAGAGAGAATAGCCAGAGGCATTTTGGGGAGTTCAAAGTTGCCATGGCTACCTCCCAGGAGGCAAAGAGGAGCAGAGAGGAAGGCCAGGGTGGGGGTTGGGGGAGTGGTTGGTTTTAAAGGGAGCAGGTAGCCGCAGGGTTGGGGGAGGAAGAATGTCTAAGTTGGAATAGCCCGGGGGTTTAGGTCCAGAAGAGTCGAGTGGCATTGAAACTCACCATAGCTTCGTGTTAAAAGGGACTGAAGGAGCCTGCAGGTTAGTGTAGGCTTTGGTGTGTAACTAGATGCCCCCATTTGCCTGAGGTAGAAAGAGACAAGGGAAGAGGCTTTTCTTGGCTGCTTGTGAGCTTGTATCTATCTGCCAGCAATTCTGTGTCCAGCCTGAGCTGAGGGAGCCCAGACTCATCTTGAAACATAATCACTGGCTGCCTTTTAAGGTTGGGGACCCAACACTTACTATGAATGTCACTTCCCATAATGCATTATATTTTAATTATACACCTGACCAGTTATATGTAGGCATACGATGATTAATGTAAGATTCTCCCTAATAGGTTACTAGAAGACACAGTTTTGCCTTACTGTATATGCACCCCAAAACAATTCAGGCCAGATAGGTCCTTTATTCTCCCTAGCTGGATATGTTGGGAATACACTTGACTAGAAATGACCTAAATTTGATTGTTACCAGGGCTGGGGAAACTTAACAACATCATTCAGAGAGGAGAGTATATATAATCTGGTGCAGACTGGGGGCCTAGAGTTTCTGAGGTTGCTAGGTTCACTGTTTGGAGAGGTGTGCATGTGTGTTTGCACAGTGTGTGCAAGGGAAGGGATTGGGCTGCCGAGGGCATCGTTACACGGAGAGGTGTGTGTAACCCCAAACCAAACAAGCTAATCCCAAGCTAACCCAAGCTTGCCGCCTCATCAGGACCAAAGCCAAGCCCTTCGCCGGTTCCATCTCTTAGACCCCTCCCCTTGAAACAGCAAATGGCGACCTTCGGATGGTTCTTCTTGGCTAAGTAGTGCCCTGGATACATTTGAATCACTTCTGGGCAGAGGGGCCCCATGTTTCACATCACGACAAGTCCCCGACTTAGCTATTGCTCTGCAGCCACGGTCGCTAAGCTTCCTGCTTAAGTTAACAGGCCCTGAACCACGCAACCCATTTCCTCTTCTAGGAATGCCATCGGAGACCACCATGGCCATTTGCTCCATGATCATGGGTGGGGTGTTTGAGAAGTTTCCCAAACTCAAAGTGTGTTTTGCACATGGAGGTGAGTCTCTATTTGCAGCAGCTCAGAGTGGCCTAAGAAAATGCCACAGACAGGGTGACTTAAAGCAACATTTTCTCACGGTTCTGGAGGCTAGAAATCGGAGACTACAGTGCTGACAGGGCTGTCCTCCTAGCACATAGATGGTGGCCTTCTCCTGGGTCCTCATGTTACCCTTCCTCCGTGCATTCATGGGCGAGGAAAGGACAAAGGACAGTGCTTGGAGGACAGAGATGGTTCTGGTCTCTTCTTTCATGTGTGTATTTAGCATGTTTGTTTGTGCATGCATGTGGATGCATGTGCATGGATGTGGAGGACAAGGACAAGGAGGCCAATGTTGGGTATTGTTCCTCGGGTGCCACCCACCTTTTTATTTTTTATTTTTTTAAGACAGCGTGCCTCACTAAACCTGGAGCTCATCAATCTGGCTAGACTGATTAGCTAGCAAGCCCAGGGATCCTTCTGACTACACCTCCCCAGAGCTGGGATTACAGGTGGATGCCTGGCTGTATTACATATGTCTGGCATTCAAAGTCCTCACATGTCACTGCACAGTCGTTCACTTTACCAAGTGAATTATCTCCCCATCCATTTTTCATTTATTTATTTGTTTGTTTATTACTCATTTTTTTT